CACCCCCCCCCCCCCCTATCTGAACCTGGTGCAGAAAAGTAGGACGTAAAACTCCATTCATTCATTTCATTTCATTTTCCCCATCTGAAGCGGTGACTTTAATATTGTTGTCTGAATCTAGATATTGGTTTGATTATTCAAATTATTTCCCTTTAACTGAGGACTTTGTTATCAACAATTAAAGTCTCAAAGAAGGAATTCCCAAATCCTGATCTAAATGCACAATCCATTGCCAGATAGAGAACGATGGTATTGAGGGATTGGGTAAACACTTCTACAACCCGCGGAGGGTATATATGACCGCCCTGATATATTTCCACTACCAGGGTAAACATATACCAGGTTGAACATACACAAGGATGAACATATACCAGGTTGGACATATACCAGGGTGAACATACATCAGGGTGAACATATACCAGGTTGAACATACACAAGGATGAACATATACCAGGTTGGACATATACCAGCGTGAACATACACCAGGGTGAACATATACCAGGGTGAATATATACCAGGGTGAACATACACAGGGGTGAATATATTCCAGGGTGAATATATACCAGGGTTAACATATACCAGGGTGAATATATACCAGGGTGAATATATACCGGGGTGGACATATACCCGAGTGAACATATACCAGGGTGAATATATAACAGGGTGGACATACACCAGGGTGAACATATACCAGGGTGAATATATACCAGGGTGAATATATACCGGGGTGGACATATACCAGAGTGAACATATACCAGGGTGAATATATAACAGGGTGGACATACACCAGGGTGAACATATACCAGGGTGAACATATACCAGGGTGAATATATACCAGGGTGAACATACACCAGGGTGAATATATACCAGGGTGAATATATACCGGGGTGGACATATACCAGGGTGAACATATACCAGGGTGAACATATATCATGGTGAATATATAACAGGGTGGACATACACCAGGGTGAATATATACCAGGGTGAATATATACCGGGGTGAACATATACCAGGGTGAACATATACCAGGGTGAATATATACCAGGGTGGACATACACCAGGGTGAACATACACCGGGGTGAACATACACCAGGGTGAACATATACCAGGGTGAATATATACCGGGGTGAACATACACCAGGGTGAACATATATCAGGGTGAATATATACCA